TTTTTTAAATTTTCATTAAGGGGTACCAATAACTAGTCACATTAAGTTATGATATTCAGTGCAGTATACATAGTGACAGACACCTGATGATGGCGGTGTATGGCTGAAACATGCCATGAATAAGGAATTAAAGTGACTATAACCTTTTGTTGCATTAATGACAGAAATATATATTATATGAAATAATTGATTTTATATATTTAACTTCATGAAATATTCTTAAAGTGTACTGACTAAATTAAAGAAAGAAAGAAAAAAGAAACTCCATGTTTTTAGTCTGCAAGTGACCTATACCGACCAAGCGACCACCACTTGTTGGCAAAGTTTGTGCCAACTACAGTGGATAGAGGGTGTTGCATGGTGAGCGCAGTNCCAAATCCCAGAAGACTGCTTTCTTCATAGTCACCGCCGTGAAAGCCTCAAATCTTACAACTCCTGAATTATCCACATGAGGCTGTATGGACTCCGTTCCAGAACCACTACTTCTCAGAAAATCTGGTAGTGCCGAAAATCGAACCTAGACCTCTGGATCTGTAGCCAGGAACTCTGACCACTAGACCACAGGCAGTCACTGACTAAATTCATCATCCTTAAATTCAGATTTCAACACTATTCATCATTCATCATCCTCAGAATGGTGCTGTCATTATATGATCATCTGCACAATTGGTTCTCTCTACATTTCTTTGCTGCCGTTGTTATATAATTACCTGAAAAATTGGCTCTGTCTGCATCGACTACTGTGGATGATCCCCACAAATTTTTAACTTGTAGGAGAGCTGGGTTTATAAAGGGTTACAGTCTACACTGATTAAGTCCAATATACTGTATACATATATAAATGTCTGTGTATCTATCAATGTATCACTGTGAGTACATAGTTACGTACTGCAAGATGACATTTTATGACTGTTTTTAAGTTTCTGTAAGTTTACAATTCCTGATGCTCCTAATTTATTTCATCATTTTTTTTATATTACATAGGTTTAAAATATACATGATCTAATAATTATCCAGTCAACTTCTTTTACAGTATTGGCTGTGTAACAGATGATGAGGAACTTTGTACATCAAGAAATGATGTGCTTTGTACAAGTAGTTGTGATATTTGTAAGAAGGGGATTGTACAAAGTGGACATATTGTCAAACACAACTGCAAACTCTCAACTGACAATCTTCTTCGATCTCAAAATTGTGGGAAACGGTGGTCAAGAAAAGGAAAGATATTGGGACATCAAAGTATATGCTCTGGTGGAAAGTCTCTCAAATATGAAAAGTGCAAGAATGGAATCTCAGAAAGGGGGGGTGAATTTAGACATCAAAGGACACACACTGGTGAAAAATGTTTCAAATGTGATATCTGTGGGAAAATATACTCTCGCAATGATATCCTTGTTGTACATCAAAGAACACACACAGGAGAAAGACCTTTCACATGTGATGTATGTGGGAAAGGATTTATGGAGAGAAGAAAGTTGACCAGACATCAAAGAACACACACTGGTGAAAAACCTTTGGAATGTGATGCATGTGGTAGAAAATTCAATAATAGATTCAGCCTTAAGAGACATACAAGAATACATACAGGAGAAAAGCTCTATGTGTGTGAAATTTGTGGGAAAGGTTTTTCTGACCGCAGCAATTTTTTGGTACATCAGAGGGGTAATGGTAATGAAGAGCCTATTTGCGGAATAATTCTGAATGACAGCAGAACTGACATGAGACATATGAGGAAACACAAAGGTGAGAAACGTTTTCAGTGTGACACTTGTGGAAAGCACTTTTTTGATAAAAGAGATATTGCTAAACATCTGAAAATTCATGCTGGTGAGAAGCCTTTCATATGTACAGTTTGTGGGAAAGGATTTTTGGAAAAACGAAAGCTTTTGAGACATGAAAGAAGATTAAATGTCTGCAAAAAGCCTTTAAAATGTGATATTTGTGGAAAACAGTTCTCATCAAAGGAAAGTATTCAAAAACATATAAAATCACATTAGTGAATATACAAGGTCCATATAAAAAGTATCGGGAAAAATCTTTCCCTTACATGACTGTACACCGCAGCACAC